GGGGGGGGGGGGGGGGGGGGGGGGGGGGGGGGGGGGGGGGGGGGGTTGTTGTTGGTGGTGGTGTGGGGTTTGGTGGTGGTTATAGCTGTTGTTGGAGGTGTTGGTTGGTGTTGGTGTTGCTCGCCGTGGTGTTACTGGTCAATGTTGCTGCTGTTGTTGTTGCGGCTGCTGCTGCTGCATCGGCCAGGCTGTTTGCTTGTCCTGTTCCATCTACCGAGTGTGACACTCTTCTTCATGCCATTTCCATCTGCCGCTCGCTGTGGGCCGCCGTTTCTAAACCAGGCGTCTTCATCCGCAGTGATCAGCGGGATCGAACGCTGGGTGTTCGGCGGGAAGCAGGAACGAGTGAGTCACTTAAGCGAGTCGGCCGCGGCAATGCGTGACATTGGTTATGCTCTTGGGAATCATTGGTACCATGGTCGCGGCAGATAGCTAGTAGTTCACTTTGAGACATGCACCTATGTGAGGACTGCATGTTGCAACTTTTGCTGACAACAGACGTCGGTATTGTTTTTGTTTTTTCAGCTTGTTGCCCAGTCTGGGTTGTATGAACTCGCGGCTTTGTCACGCATGTGATGCATGAATTGTATACATCTCCCCGTCGAGTTTCGATTGCCACCGCATCGCGTTCAAATCACGCAATCTTGATTTCCGGAGGTGCGCGGAACAAAGAAGGGGTCTCTTCTTGGATGGCGAAGACAACAGCAACAGCAACAGCAACATCTCAACCCGCTCCTCCCATCCACACCCTTCATTTCACGGCTGCATACTCCACCTTCGCAAAACACGAAAAATAGGTATTTACAAGTGGCCCTCACGCTCACCCCTCACCGTCCTCCTGCTTTCCTTGACTCACGTACTGCTTCCACGTGCGAACTCCAAAAGACTACGCCGATCATGAGCCCGAATAGGAACAAGCCTGCCACGGCTGGAGCATCCTCGACGGCAGAGGTTAGCCCGGCTCCGGGCACCACGACCATGCACGATTACGTTCGAGCGATGTAGAGAGGGGTTAAGGGCTAACTCTCGTGAGCAAAGCAGGCTAGATATCGTTCATACTTGCCAACGGTCAGCCAGCCAACATATGCTCGTCGAGCTGGCACCGCCATGCGTTCATTGCGGAGCTGCTTTCTCTATTCAAATGTAGAGAGGAGGACCAGTCTCTTTCCGGCTATCGAAGCCATTACAGTGCGGAGTCGCCGTCTCTCGTTTACAGAGCGAGGCGTGCAGAGGGCTGGGGCTAGTGCGGACGGGGAAAGCATCTTGGGGCGCGAAAGTAGTGGTGGGCGTCTAACCCAGCCATGTAGGATATGGAAGGGGCGGCGAAAGAGTCACTGGTGATTCTCGTTTGGTCCGGTGGCATCGGCCTATGCCGTGCTGCGTTCTCGCGTGCGGTTTTCTTGACCCTGAGAAAGCAAAGAGGGGGAAGGGGTTGTGTGGACTGCCTTGTGTGTGTAAGCCCCCTCCGTCTCAGAGGTGCCGAGAATGGTGCCATTTGATTTGATGGGGGGAACTACTAACCCAAAAATATAAATGACTGTAAGCGGTTCGGTTTGCTCTCTTTTGGGGATGATTGATTTGTTTATCGTTTTTTTTTTTTTGTCGTTGGAGGGATGGGCGGCAGCACAATGATTATCCCTGTTCTTTGCCACCCCGAGTGCGGGGGGGGGGGGG